GGACACCCACACCCCCACCCACACAGGGCACCCCCACCCACACAGGGCATCCCCACACCCCCACCCACACAGGGGACCCCCACCCACACAGGGCACCCCCATCCACACAGGGGACCCTCACACCCCCACCCACACAGGGGACCCCCACCCACACAGGGGACCCTCACACTCCCACCCACACAGGGCACCCCCACCCACACAGGGGTCCCTCACCCACACAGGGGTCCCTCACACTCCCACCCACACAGGGCACCCCTACCCACACAGGGGACCCTCATACCCCCACCCACACAGGGGACCCTCACACCCCCACCCACACAGGGGACCCTCACCCTGCTGCCCCTCCCTCCCCCACACACAGGAGACCCTTACACACCCCCCTCACACACAGGAAACCCCTTACAACTCCTGCCCCCCCACACAGGAGACCGTAACAAACCCTGCCCCCCCTTACCCGCCCCCACACACAGGAGACCCTCACTGCCTGACTCCCACCCAGGAGACCCTCACACACTTCCCCATCCCCACATAGGAGACCCTCACAACCCCTCCACACAGGGGACCCTCTCACCACCCCTCCTCACACAAAGGGGACCCACTCACCCCCACAGGGACCCACCCACGCCCACACAGAGCCCCCACCAATTCCCACTCACAGGAAACCCCCAAACTCTTGCACGCGCCCACACACACTCACACAGCCACGCGCGCGCGCCCACACACACACACACAGGCACGCACGTGTGCGTGTCCACACACACATACACAGGCATGTGCGTGCGTGTGTGCACACACACACACACACACACACACACACAGAGGCACATATGTGCGCACACACACACACACAGGCACGTGCGCACCCACACACACTCACACAGGCATGCGCGTGCCCACACACACACACAGGCACGCGCGTGCCCACACACACACACAGGCACGCGCGTGCCCACACACACATGCACGCGCATGCCCACACACACATACACCCACACAGACACACACCCACACAGACACACACCCACACACAGTACCAATGCAGATCCCAGACCCATGCCCTGACCTGCACTAACAAGGACCAAGTAGATCTTCAACTCCCCAAACTCCACGTTATTGAAACAGATTTGATTTGGATTTTGTGAATAATTGGCAAAGTCCTGATCATGACCAAAGCCCCTCGAAATATGACACTGTCTCCCGATCATGACGATCTGCTCTGGGACTGAGCAGTGAGTGGGGAGAAGGGGCTCTTTCTCAGGTTGATCGCTCTAACCAGAGGGATCCACCCGGGTTAAGTGCTGGGACTGCAACTGTTTGCAATATATGTATTAATGAGTTGGAGGAAGGAAGTGAATGTACTGCAGCCAAATTTAGAGATCTCATAAAACACATGGAAAGTCAGGTTGTGAGAGGGATACAGACAGCTTACAGAGAGATTGATAGGTTGAGAGAGTGAGCAAGAAGTTGGCAAATACAATATAATGTGGGAAAATATGAAGTTGTTCATTTTGGAAGGGAAAACAAAAGAAGAGCATTATTTAAATGAAGAGAAACTACAGAAAGCTGCAAAACAAAGGGACTTTTGAGGGGCGGGGGGCACTTGTGCATGAAACACAGAAAGCTAGCACACCAGGGCAGCAGGTAATCAGGAAGGGTAATGGAATAGTGGCCCTTATTTCAAGGGGGGTGGTGTATTAGAGTATGGAGCTCTTACTGCAACTGTACAAGGTGCTGGTGAGGCTACATCTGGAGCACTATGAGCATTTGGTCCCCTTATTTAAGGAAAGATATCATTTCATTGGACGCAGTTCAGAGAGGGTTCACGAGGATGATACCGGGTATGGGGGGATTGTTTTATGAGCAAAGGTTTAACAGGTTGGGACTCTACTCACTGGAGTTTAGAAGAATGAGAGATAATCTCAGTCCAAACATGTTGGATTCTTAAGGGGCTTGACAGGGTAAATGCTGTGAGGATGTTTCCCCCCATGGGAGAGCCTAGGACCAGAGGACATAGTCTCAGAATAAAGGGGCTCCAATTTAAGACTGAGATGAGGAGGAATTTCCTCTCTCAGAGGGTTGAGAGTCTTTAGAACTCCTTGCCACAGAGAGCTGTGGGGGCAGGGACCCTGTGTCTATTTAAGGCTGAGATAGTTAAGATTCTTGATCAGTTGGGGAATCAAGGGTTATGGGGAAAGGACAGGAAAGTGGATGTGAGGAATGTTGGATCAGCCATGATCCTATTGAATGGCAAAGCAGGCTCAAGGGGCTGGATGGTCCCCTCCTGTTCCTGTTTCTTATGGTCTTAATAAGGTCCTTTAAATTACAGACGAGTTAGATATGGAAGATGCAGAGAAAAGGTTAGCAGGAGTATTAAGCTTGACGACATCGCTACAAGACAGTGATATATAAACCCAATCAGGAATGTTTTTACCCAGAGGGTGGAGAGAACTGGGACTGGCTCTCACAGGAAGCGGTCGAGGAGATTTGGATCAGCGTACTCGCTTGCTGCTGTGAACTTGTAACTCAATCACAGACTGTCTCTCAATCTGTCAAACTTGATTGAAATTTTTAGAATCGAAATTCGAGATAAAGATTGAAACTATTATTGAGTTTGCAAGCGATGGGAGGCGGGAATGAGGATCTGGGTGGGAAAACATTTTCCCAAGTTTCTGAAACCTGTAATTCCTTTATTCTGGTGTTCCACCACATGGCACTGGCTGGAACTATCAAAAGAAAATTTGTGTTTAATGAACAAAGCACATCCCATTGCCCTCTCCCTGCTCTAAACCTTGGCATCGAGTCTGAGCTTTAGCTAATGCTGGACCAGCTCTCCACTACATCATGAATCTGAGGATGTTCCTCAGTCCGCTCTCTTATACTTGACTCAATCACTCTCATGACGAAGGAACTGCAGCTTCCTGTGTTTTCCCATTAAAGAAAATTAATTTTTTAAAATCCTGTGGTGAAGACAAAGCCCAATGAAAGTTTTCACAATGGGTTTACCTGGACAGCCTTTTGCATCATTTGGTGCAGATCTTGATGTTTTCTCTTCTTGAACCAATTGTGATTTGTTCATCATTTGAATACAGTCACTCAGTGTAACAAAGCGTTAAATGGATGAGTGCTTACCATCATGATTGGAATTGCCCAATGTCCAGGGTTCATCCGAGTCAAAATGAGTATCACCTCCAATTCCTGGCCCAGGGAAGTAAGCGTGTGCCAAGAATCCACCTTCTCCATCAAACGGGGAACTGTCACCATGGAAACCAGAGGCAAAGAAAATCATAATATCTGCTTCCTTTCTGTTACTCTTAATCTCATGGTAAGGAATTTCCTCAAAAGTCAATGGAGTGACCTTCTGCCAGACATCGAACGCTCGGCGAATGGCTCTCCGAGTTTCATACTCTCCTACCTTCGGGGTATAGTTGTGAATGCTGTTCGAGAGAGGAACACAAGATTCATTGCAAGCTGATTTTTAAAAACTAACTATTCACAAAACTGATTCCAGCATCATTACACCCAGTCCAGCAACTACCATCCAGCTACACCGTCCCACCAGCCACAATACAAACTGGGAACTTACAACTCTGCCAGCACTTTAAAGAATATTTTTGTAATCCCTGACCAATCATTAGCTGTTACCAAAATTAAGTTAATCCTTCCGTACAAACAGCTGACTCAGCAAAAGACATCATTGGCCAATGGGCAGAGAAAGCTCTGACCATTGCAGATAAAGGCTTCAGAGATAACAAGGTGTAGAGCTGGATGAACACAGCAGGCCAAGCAGTATCAGAGGAGCAGGAAAGCTGACGTTTCGGGTCCGGACGCTTCTTCAGAAATGGGGGAGAGGGAAGGGAGCTCAGAAATAAATAGAGAGAGGAGGGGTGGGGCTGGGGGAGGTAGATGGGAATGGTCATAGCTAAGTGCAGGTAGGCAGTGGTGGGGATTGGTCAGTGGGATGGGAGGGGCAGATAGGTGGGAGAGAAGATGGACAGGTTGTGTCAGGTCAAGGAGGCGGGATGAAAGGGAGGATTGGTCATGGGATTAGGGGAGTAGAGAGATTTTGAAACTGGTAAAATCTACATTTAGGACATTGGGTTGTAGGCTCCCAAAGCGGAACATAAGGTGCTGCTCCTCCAGTTTGCGGGTGGCGTCGTTGTGACACTGGAGGGGGCCCAGGATGGACATGTCATCCAGGGAGTGGGAGGGGGAGTTGAAGTGGTTCGCGACGGAAGGTATTGTCGTTTGTCGTGAACTGAGCGAAGGTGCTCTACAAAGCGGTCTCCGAGCCTCCGCTTGGTCTCACTGATGTAGAGGAGGCCACATCGGGAGCAGCAGATACAGTAGACCACATTGACAGATATGCAGGTGAACCCCTGTCTAATGTGAAAGGTTTGTTTGGTTTCTTGGATGGAGGTGAGGGGGGAGGTGTAGGGGCAGGTGCAGCACTTCCTGCAGTTGCAGGGAAAGGTGCCGGGGGTGGTGGGGTTAGCGGGGAGTGTGGAGCGGATGAGCAAGTCACGGAGAACGCGGTCCCTATGGAAGGCAGGTAGGGGTGGGGAGGGAAATATATCCTTGGTTGTGGGATCGGATTGTGGGTGGCGGAAGTGGCGGAGAATGATACATTGGATATGGAGGTTAGTGGGGTAATACGTGAGGACAAGGGGGATTCTTTCTTTGTTTTTGTTGCGGGGAGGAGGTGTGAAGGCTGAGGTGCGGGAACGCAAGAGATGCGGTCAAGAAGGGGTAAGTTGCGGTCCTTGAGATAAGAGGACATCTGGGAATCGGGAGTGGAACGCCAGCATCAGCAGTTCTTACTATCCCAAAGGTTTCAGAGAGTTTGTCACAAACTATATTAATTATAATATTTAGTAAGGAATGATAGGAACCAATTTCTTAGTCCACAGTTTCTACAACACCATGAAAGAATAACTGGCAAACCATCAGATGATCTGACCTCAATCAACATGACTTAAGAACACAGTGAGATCTAACTGGAGACTCAGACACAAAGCTTCATAAATCCCACTGTGATTACATGTCTGATAAGGACAGGGAGTGGGGGATCTGGAGGGGTTGTGGGGGGGTGTGCGATGTGAAGGGGAAACATTGCAGTGTACAAGAGGTTAACAGCTCTACTTTGTTGGAATGGTTCAGTTATGGTGTGAGTGGTGGTGACAAACAGGATACTGAGGGAACTGGGACAAAATGGTGAAGATTCTGCTCAGGTCTTGCATCAGTGAGGGGGCCATTGCCTGGGATGTGTCAATGTCCTTGGGTTCTAATGAAAAGTCTCTGAAAATCACTGCCAACGTCCTTTTTTTCAGCTGCAACTCCAGCCAGAGCAATTCCTCTTCAATCTCACTGGCCTCAACCTCTTTGGTCTTCAGTCTTTGCCACAAACTCCACTCATGGCTAACTCTACTCCCTGTCCCTAATGACTACACCTGAACCAACTATTCCCAATCATAACATGGTTGATGTAAAGACAACAATCTTTAACATCAACAAAATGAAGGAGCTGGTCATTGACTTCAGGAAGTGGAGTGGAGGACACGTCCCTGTCTGTGTCAATGGTGCTGAGATGGATATGGGCGAGAGCTTCAGATTCCTAAGAGTAAATATCACCAACAATCTGTCCTGGTCCATCCATGTTAACACTACAGTCAAGAAAGCACACCAACGCCTCTACTTCCTCAGGAGGCTAAGGAAATTCAGCATGTCCACAATGACTCTTATCAATCTTTATAGATGCAGTATAGAAAGCATCACAGCTTGGTATGATAGCTGCTCTGCCCAGAGGGTTGTGAACACAGCCCAGTCCATCTCGCAAACGAGCCTTCATCCACTGACTCTGTTTACACTTCCCACTGCCTCAGGAAAGCAGTCAACATCATCAAAGACCCCTCCCCACCCCAGTTACACTCTTTCATTAGGCAGAAAACACGTACCAACAGATTTAAGAACAGCTTCTTCCCTGCTGTTATCAGACTTATGAACAGACATCTCATATATTAGAGTTGATCTTTCTCTGCACCTTCTCTGTAGCTGTAATGCCATATTCTGCATTCTGTTCTATTACCCTGATGTACTTATGTAAGGTATGACTTGTCTGGATAGCGCACAAAACAATACTTTTCACTATATCGTGGTACATGTGAAAATTCTAAATCGAATCAAATCAAAATCAAATCAAATCCTGTTTGACCCAGAGATGAGCTACACTTTGCCAATAAGATCACCCTGTGGACCATTCAGATCCCTTGAACCTGCTCCAATCTGATTACTGCCTCAACTCCACTCCTGTCTGCCCCTACAGCCCATGACTGCCCTGGAGAGAGAGAGAGAGAGAGTCCACTCCAGCCTTGAATATATTCAAAGACCCATTCTCTGCCACTCTCTAGTAAAGAGAATTCCACATAGCAACAGCTCCCCGAGGGGAGTTTCTCCTCATTTCTGTCAGAAATGGGAGACCATTATTTTTAATCTATACCTCCTTGATTTAGATTCTCTAAAAAGGGAAATTTCCTCTCAGCAATCACCAGACCAAGCCCTAAACTTCTATAATGTTGCTCACACATGCTCCTCTCTCAGCCAAGCTGTGCATCATTAACCATCCGACTTCATTATTTCACACAGTTCCATGTTCTACCCTCCCGCCCCGTAAACCTGGGTCATTGCCACTAGGTCCCACCTCACATCCATCGTCCCTGTACCCACTGACCTCGATCAGTTTCCTGTTACACAATGCTGCAAATTTTACAGTTTTATCTTTGTTTTTAAACCCTCCATCACCTCATTGTTCCCTCTGTCTGTAACCTCCCAATGCCTTTTAAACCTCTGACATCTTGGCACACATCTCATTCAGGTTCTTGAGGCCCCACTGAACCACTGTACCAGGTGCAGGCTGAACCCGAGGCTCTGGAACCTTCTTCCTAAATCTCTCGCCCTCACTCCCCTCCTTCAAGATGCTCCTGCAGATCGCCTTGTCCAAGCGATTGGATCCTTGTCCAAAGTGTCCTGAGCAGATGTGTTATGATGGTGCTATATTATCATGTTAATAATAATATAGTATTATTCCCATACCAAAGCTCTACTGGAACAAATTGTTGAAATGTTATTCATCTCCCCACCACTGACGCTCAGTAGCAGCAGTGTGTACTATCTACAAGGTGCCCTGCAGAAACTCACCAAGGCTCCTTAGACAGCACCTTCCAAACCCATGACCACTTCCATCCAGAAGGACAAGGGCAGCAGATACAGGGGAACACCACCCCCTGCAAGTTCCCCTCCGAGCCACTCACCATCCTGACTTGGAAATATATCGCTGTTCCTTCAGTGTCGCTGGGTCAAAATCCTGGAATTCCCTCCCTAAGGGCATTGTGGGTCAACCTACAGCACTGCAGCAATTCAAGAAGGCAGCTCACCACCACCTTCTCAAGGGGGGCAACTAGGGACGGGGCTATAAATACTGGTCAGCCAGCGATGTTCACAACCTGAGAGTGAATTAAAGAAAGAGGATGGAACATTACAACAAAGGGTGTTATAATTACCAATAACTGACCAGATTTACCAAACTTTCTCACAATGAGAAATCCACACTGGCTGATGAAAATGATTGTCCAAGTTAAACATAAGGGCTATGACAAAGGATTTTCCTTTAATGGATGACCTTTCCCAGACGCGGGGTGACCCTGTAGATTGGCTCACGTTTGACATTGTGTTTTGAAACACACTTTCTCTGTCACAGGGAACCAATCTGACTCGAG